GGCACGAGCGACGCCGCGCGCCGGCCGAGCAGAGGGTAAGACCCTGCCCAGCTGCTCCCGCCGGCCTCCCACGAGAGGGGCGGCCGATTGACTTCCACCAGCCGCACAGCCACCGCCTTTGGGACAGGCTGGGAGTTTTCTAAGCGTTTCAAATGCAGGCAAGATTAAGCTCTGCCCGGCGGGGTTCCTCCATTGTTCTGGGAGCTATTGTACGGAGAGGAAGGTCACCGCGGCTCGGCACAGACCCCAGGGCTGCGGCAGAAGCCTTTAGACCGAGCTGCAAGTCTCTCTCCCTACCAGGGCTGCGGGGGAGCGGCATTCTTCTCACCATCACCCCCGCGGTTTTACTGCGGAGCTGCTACGCCGGCCGCTCCGTGAGCTGCACGGCAGGACCATGCTGTACCTCCAGATGCCGGTCTGCCTGCAAACGACCGGCTCCCAGGTAAAGAGGGGGAACGGGGGGTCCCCAAACCTGGCTGCTTCTGCTGTGTCACCCCACCCAGCTGGGACTCTGCTCTGGAGGCACCCAGGCACCGGAGGCGGAGGGTCAGACCTCCCCGAGGCAGGAGCTGCCTCGCACACAGCAACGCCGACTGCTGCTAGAGACCTGAAAACCGCGGGAGAGCTGCCCGACAAGCGCCCGCTCCTGCAGGACCTGATATATTTAGGGAGAGCCCAGCCGAGCCGGGAGGAAGCACAGCACAAGAACCTCCCCCCGTTCAGCAGCCTGGCACCTACACGCGTCTTCCCGGTACGCGAGGGGTATCCCGCGTTACGGGATGCTTCAGGTGCCCTGCGCCGAGCATCCCGGCGGCAGGGAGAGACTCGGCGGCAGGTCGGCAAAGCCGGTGCCCCGGGGCCACAGCTTTTCTACCCCAGCACTTCACAGAGGTTAGTACCACCACACGGGTTAGTAATGGGCAGACGTGGGGAAAATGCATCTGGGGGGGTTGATTCAAGTCAGTCCAAAGCATGGATGGGAGGGAGAACGAACAAACCCTTGCGGTTAAGCAGAGAAGAGTTAGACACGAGCGAGATGCAGAGTTTGTACTCGTGGCTTGTACGGGAACCAGCTCTGAGCAGCTGCGCTCGAGACCAAGGCGAGGCTTTAATCTCAACGCTGGGATTAAGCGGGTAAAACGGAGCCAGCGCCAGCCCTTTCGTGGCGAGGCTTTTCTGTGCGCTGCTGGGGAACCTACCGAGGGACGCAGCTCGGGCCGCTCTCGTTTTCAGGCTGCTCAGGTGGCTGCCAACGTAAAAGCCACGACAAAATCCACCGTGTTAGGCACAGACAAAGCTCAGTGCGCCGGCGGGCACAGGCAGCTAGAGCTAAAACTTAACTCATACAGATTTTTCTGGCGAGGGGAAGGAAGGAGCCCTGAAATTAAGATGGCAGAGGTTGTCAGAGTAAAGATTTCACCTTCTGATTCGCTCTGGCGCGTTGGAGAGCCCGATCTGCATTTAAAAAACATCTCTGAATTTGAACCGAGTCTGGTTTTAAAGGAACAGAGGGAGGAGGGAGGGAGATGGAGCAGTTGAGAGGATCAGGGACAAGGAAAGGGCAGAGGGAAAAGGTTAAGCAGCAAAGCAAGTCCTGCGAGCCGGGTTAGAGGCTCTGGCAGGTGCTGGGACAGTTTTGGAGGGGATTATAAGGAACAAGGAATTTGCCTTAAGGGCACGGGGATGGAGAGAGGGCCCGTGGAGCATAGAGGGAGCTGGAGTGTTAGAGAAAAGCCAAGATTTTATTTCTTTTGCTAAAGGGGAGGGGAGGGTACCCTGCGGAGCCAGAGACACCCCAGCTGTGCGCTGGCTCGAGGCAGGACCCAGAACGCCTCTGCCTCTCTCCCCAAACGCAGGTCGAGGAGGAGGAGGAGAGAGAAAGGCTGAGCCACAGTGCCTGGCACTGAGCAGCCCAGCGGAGAGCTCAGAAGAAAGTTCCTTTAAGACCGACTGATACTGGTGAGAGCACCGATGGTTTTAGGGCTCGTAAGCCGGGCGAGCCTCCCCTGCAGAGGGGCTCCAGAGCTCTGCCCGGCTCCGAATCAGAAGCAGCCCGGCACTGGGCTAGCGCCTTGAATCCTTAATTGTCAGATCTCCACCTTCCCATCACCCAGCACGATCACGTCCGCACAGCCAGTGATGGGAGAGCGGCCCTGCACAGAAATCATCGTGTGGGAGGCAAGAGACGGGCCCTTGGGAGTTTTCCTTTGTTTTTGCAGCAACATCTGGGCAGTGCTAAAAGAAAATGGAAGTGTCTGAACAGTTGGAAGAGTCGGGAAACGGGCACGGGGCCCTCCCTGACTGTCGGAGCCGCGGACGCGGTGGGTAAGTCACGGGGTTTCGCAGAGCAGAA